TGCTTCTCCAACTGAAAGTATCTGGACTGGAACACATGGGGAAGAATCAGCAGATTTCTTTGTTTCATTACCTGAAACTAGCAAAGTGAGCACTTTTGATTCATGTAGATTCATAAAAGTACCTGCTTATAGTAAAACGGCTGCTAATCACCCCCACCCCCTGTTAGTTTCATAATCACTTTTCCTCACACAGCTGCCTTTCTGTCTGCATCCAGAAGAACCCTGGTGCTTTATTAAAGACTAAAGTTCGTTCCACAGACTCTTTGCACTATGACAGACCCACAATGCCTGATCCTCAGACAGTCAAACCAAAGCACCTTGTTAAATTACATAGATTTGTTCGTCATTGTAAAGAATTGGATGTTCAAGAGTTTTGTTTTGGTCCTGCAAAATGTCTCTCTTTCTCCTCATCAACCTATTCATGGAGTTTTTTCTTATTTATGGGTTTAGTTCATAGGTAGGCAGGCACACACAGACATTATTAAATGTGCATATTTATGTTATTTGACTTTTTATGAGAATAACTCACTCTGGTTGCATGCAAAGATTTTCTGCAAGATTACTGCATCTTGTTGGTCATTTTTTGTTTAATACTTTATTGTTGCTCAGTTTGTTAGTAAATAAAGCTTGTCGCTAAGCCAGTTAATTATAATGTTATTCTCATAACATAACTTTATTCTGATAATGTTGCAACTTGATTCTGATAACATTACGACTTTATTCTGATAATGTTGCGACTTTTTTCTCATGATATTATGGCTTTATTCTGATATTTTTGCAACTTTATTCTCGTAATTTTACAATTTGTTCTGATAATGCTTAAACTTTCAATTTTCCAATGTGACTTTATTCACGTAATATTATGAGTTTATTCTGATAATGTTTCAAAGTTATTTCTCGTGTTGTGGCTTTATTCTCATAATGTTGTGACTTTATTTTCGTAATATTATGACTTTATTCTCATAATTTTGCCACTTTATTTTCCTTAATGTTACGATTATATTCTTGTAATATTGCGACTTTATTCTCGTATTAGGAAAAAAAAAAATCTCTAGCCTGGATATGCCGTCATACTAAGGAGGTTAATGTGTTTAAAAACACGGATTCTGCTGCTGCTACGGTTGTTTAAAAGGAGCATGTTGGCCTAGGTTCAGTTTAACTTTCGGCCTATCCAGTGTTTGTGCTGGAATGAGTCCTGAAGGAGGGAGTCCAGACGTCAGTCAAAGGGTCGATATGCTCATTAAAAATGAGCGTAGTGGTCTGAGTATTAGCATAGCGGCAAGCTACGCTAAAAATACGCTAGCAGGAACCCTGAGGCTCTGTGCTCGAATGTCTTTTAAAACCTCATACTACTGATAGCAATGCTTTTCTTAGTGTGTAGTCTACGTTCTAACAGCATTTTAAATACCGTAGGTCAATAGGTGTGATGCTCAGCCCCAGTTTGTTAGGAACAGGAATTTTCTTTTTCCGTGATGTTCGGATTAAAGGCTGGAATTGAACATCAGTTGGTCAAACCCTGGATTTACTTCCTGGTCAGAGGTTATAGGTCATCTTTAAATTTGTAACACATCCGCCCAAGCTTAGACCCCAGTAAAGCCTAATCTAACCATCATTAAACATGTCCATGCTTTGTGGATATGAATGTTGACTTTGATTATTATTATTGATTTTCATTGATATCATTTAATCTTTTTATTTAGATTGGTTATTAGAAACATTTAAATGCAGTTAAACAATCAGATTGAAAATCGGACTTAAAAAAATAGTAAAAAAATTGGATCGTACTTTTTTATATTGACCAGGGCTGGATGATATTTTGATATCAATATATATCCTGATATAATTGAATTCAATATTGGTTATATGACTTTAAGACACATTTTCAATATTTCAGTAAAGATCACAATCTATTAAAACAGCATTTGTCACTGAATGACTTCCTTGGTTTTATGTTTTTTTTTTTAAAGCAAGTATTTCCAAAATGTTATGTCAGAGGAGTTTTAAAAATGTAAATGTTTACAGGCATAAGTCTTCTTGACAGTCTCTCTGAGGCTTCTTTTGAATATCGATACCGAAAAGATATGTCAACCAAAATAAAGAAATCTATTGTGATATCAGTTTTGGTCCTATCATACAGACATAAGTGACTGGAATAAATAGACTGATCAGAATAAAAATGTATAATGGAAACATTTTGATCTGGATATTAGAATCTAGCCATTTACAGCAGAAATACGCCATGTTGAGCCGGTAAAAACATGAACACTCAGGTCAACTTACCTCCTTCAGAATATCTTCCTCCGGAGGTGTTTTTATATCCGTGCTGATTGTGTTATCAGGCAGCATAAACCTCTCCGTCAGATTACATCTTCATTCTGTTCCTGCAGAATCTAACCAGAATATTTCAGCTGGCTCCAGAGATTTTTAATCCGATCTGCGTTTATTCTGATTTCTTATGTCCATTTAAACGTAGCTATAGTGAAAGTTCAAGTGGTAGCAGGAGGTAAATGCTGCAGCACATGGCTGTCGAATTTGAGGAAATTGGTTCAGAAAAAACCTTGAAAGTCCTTTAACATCCACTGCAATTACGACCTAAAAATGAGTATCATTTTCTTAAGATAAGCGTATTTACCCTTAATTTGAGCAGGTAAATAAGATGATCTGCCAATGGAATGAGTATTTTTTCCCCCTTAGATAAGATAATTACATAGTATGCACTTGAAAAAAGGGAC